GAGGGTGTGAGGAGCTGCCCTGCTGCCTTCCCCTCTCCACAGGGCTGGAGAGCCCATCCCATGCCCTGAGAGCCGATGCTGATCCCTGGGCCAGTTCTGCCACCACCACCTGCGTCACCCTGGCTGAGCCCCACCGCTATGACAGGGACCTGGAGATCATCCTCTACCCTTGTGGTGAGGGGCGATGGTGCCCTTGGCAGATTTGGGGGAGACAGGGCATCACCTCCAAAACATTCAGAGCATCCCCCTGCCCCTTGTGGCACAGGGCAGCTCCAAACTCCGCTATGCCCCCAGAGCCCCACCATCCCCACCTGGTGATTGAGGACGGCACCATGACATACCCCGAGTACGAGGCGCATATCCGGAGCCGCCGGGATTATGTGCGGATTGCCAGGAAGGACTGCAGTGGCGAAAGACAGGTGACAGGGCACAGGCACCACTGGCCCAGAGGGGAGAAGGAAGAAGGAGGGGAGGAAGTGGGATGTGGGTGAAGAAGATCTTGGTGTGGGCTGGTGTGTGAGAAAGCCCCTGGCCTGCCTGGCTCGCAGGTGGCTTTTGTGCAGAGGCGTTTCCACAAAGACATCTTCCCCAACCCTGTGCTCATGTTGAACTTCTGCCCGGAGGCGGAGGGTGTCCCTGGGGACCTGCAGAGCGTCACCCGCGAGTTCATCTTCCTCATCGACCGCAGTGGCACCACGAGCAGGCCTGACCTTGACAAGGTCAAGGTGAGGCACAGCCATGGGTCCAGGGGTGCTCCCTGGGTGGCTGGTTGGTTCTTAGAAGTCCTCTCTGGTCCCTGCTGTCACCCCAGGAGGCTTTGCTGGTGGCCCTGAAGAGCCTACCGTCAGGGACACTGCTCAATGTCGCCAGCTTTGGCGCTGATGTCAAGCCACTCTTCCCGTCCAGTCGCCTCTGCAGCAACGTGAGTGCCACAGGCAAAGCCCCACACCAACCCCTCTCTGTCCCCATTCCAGCTCCCCAGCTCGGGATGAGGGCTGGTGAGCCAGGGGACCACTGTGACACTGGCTCTCTGTGCGGACAGGAGACTCTGCAGCGTGCCTGTGAGCACCTCACTGGGCTGCAGGTGGACACGGGCAGCACCAACTTGCTGGCAGCCCTGGGCTGGGCGCTGGCACAGCCCCTCCACCATGGCTACCCCCGTCAGCTCTTCCTCTTCACGGGCACAGCAGCAGGCAACACAGGCAGGATCCTCCGGCTCGTGCGCAGGCAGGCCAGCACCATCAGGTAGGGCACTGGCACCGTGGCAGGTCACAGTGTCCTCCATATCCCCTGTGCTGTTCCCATTGACTTCTCCTTATGCCCCAAATCTTGCCTCCACCAGCCCAGAGGGTGTCCTTCATGCATCACATCCTTCAGCCCACTGGCTTGGCTCTCCTCAGGGTGCCACAGCCCAGCATGCAGCCAGGGCATCATTCTAGCTATCAGCCACCCTGGCTATCAGACACCCCTTCTCATCCCTGCTAAAGAGCTTGCCACCGGGCTTGCCAGCCTCTGGCACCAGCCTGGATGTGGCTTTCCACCACCTGGCTCTCCTGCAGGTGCTTCAGCTTTGGCATGGGCCCACGGGCATGCCGGCGGCTGCTGAAGGGCATGGCCAAGGTGAGCCGGGGCCGTGCCGAGTTCCTGAGCCCAGCTGAGAGGCTGCAGCCCAAGGTAATGCCCAGGCAGGGGCATGGGGGGCACTGAGGGCATCACCATGCCTGACACTCTCCTCTCCCCACTCCAGCTGATCAAGTCCCTGAAGAAGGCAATTGAGCCAGGCATCAGTGACATCACCATCGACTGGTACGTCCCTGACAGCATGGAGGCTCTGCTCTCGCCCACGGAGCTCCCAGCACTCTACCCCGGCGACCGCCTCGTCAGCTACTGTGTCCTCTACAGCATCGCCCGCTTCAGTGACAGGCGTTCACCAGTACGACCAGCACCGCCCTGGCACGGGGAAGATGGCATGTCCTGGTGCTACAGGCTTCTGGCTGGGCAGAGGGACTGATGGTCCCTCAGGGCCGGGAAGCAGTTCACCGAGGCTCCCGGGCCTCAGCCTTTCCCTCCCAGGAGGAGGTGCCCAGTCCTGCAGGGAGCTGTCAGCCTCCCCGGAGCAACCCAGGATCTGGAGATGCCTCCCTGGAGCTTTTTGCTGGGAGTACAGAGGTGTCAGAGCGGAGTGAGTGGCGTTCAGGGCTGGGGTGGGAGGCAGGCGTGGGAGCCGTGGGCTGACAGGGTGTGTGCTCACTGGGCAGGTGTGGATCCCATTTCGGGGGGAGACATCTGGAAGCGGATTTACCAGCCCTCCTACATCCAGGAGCAGTACGTCCTGACACATTGCTCCGTCAGCACTGATTGCAGCCAGGGACTGCTCTCCCGCAGCTCCACCAGCAGTGAGTCCACTGGCTCCCGCGACGTGGCCCCTGAGGCCTCTGGTGCAGATGTCGCCTCCCAGAAGGGCCAGAAGAGCCTGTCCCTCTGCGAGTCCTCCACCAAATCTGCCCCGTTGCCCTCTGCCCCAACTGGCACCAAGGTAAGGATGTCAATGGGATGCAGGGGCTCACACATGTTGGGCTTGGAACCAGAGCATTGTAGCCTGGATTTTAAGCAACGATCAGCCATGGGTCCTATGAGGAGGCTTCTTGGGTGGTTTTGCCCTACTGGAGTGGGACACCTGGGGATGAAGCAGGTTGCCTCCCAGCATCTCCAGCCAGCTGGGGGGAGACCCAGACCCAGACCCCCAAGCCAACTCAGTGCCTCCTTAATGCTGCAGAAACCTAGTGAAAATAGCTGGTCTGGCAGGTAACAAACTTTCCAAGCTGGAGAGGAGGGACTGGCTGTCTGATCTCCTGCCTGGCTCCTTCAGCCCTCAGCCAATGCTGCCGGATGCTTCGCTCGCGATGCGCCACATCCCTGCGGCTTCATGTCTGGGTTTCAAACCCAGCCAGGTCGCTGGGATGGGAGAGGCAGCTGACCCAGGGATGATGCCCCTGAGGCTGGGTGAGGCCAGCTGTCATCCAGCTCCAGGACACGCTCCTTCCCCGTGGCACGGGTTAGGTAACCTGCTCCCGTTGCACAGCAGCACAGCTGGTGACCTTTGCTGCCGAAATGTCAAGCGTAAGTGATTTCCTTGCAGTGTAAATGATCCTCCCTGGCTCCACACTGCTGGCGCGAGAGGTGCCATGGGTGCTGCTGCCTTGACGTGGCTTTTAGGGGACACATCTCAATGTGGGAACGTCACTCTGTGCTGGGGACTGCATCCCACTCTAGCATCATCCAGCCTGAGCATCCTAGCTAACCTCACTTCCTGCACACACACAAATCCCTGGCAACTCCAGCGTCAGCCTGAGTCAGTCCCATGGATGTTTGCAAACTTCCTGTCTGGGTGCTGTTGGTCCTTCTCACATGTATGGAGCCAGGCGAGCATCCCTGGGTGGCTGCTGGTGCCAGCCTGCAGAGCAGCAGGGCTGGCGACTGCCAGTGGCTCCAGCCAGCAGACGGAGAGACGCAGAGGCCCCATCCTGGCTCGGTGCAGTCCGGGCTCTGTGCCGGTGCCTTTGCTGGTCTCGCCAACAGCCTTGTCCCCGCCGCAGGTGATGGTGGCCCTGAGCACGGAGGAGCTGGCACGGCAGAAGAAGGCGCTGGCACGCACTGCCCTGGCTGGCCGCAGCTTTTCCACGCCGCATGGAGAACTGGATGCCCATCGGCTCCGCCGGGCCCTGGAGAAAGTGTCGCAGAAGAGGAACCAGTCCCTGGAGGGGCGGCTGGACGAGCTGGGACCCCAGGCACAGCAAATGCATCCCAGCACGGTGGAATCAAGTGTGTCCTGGCTCTGGGGACAAGGGCGGTGGG